AAGTTCCGATATCTCTCCTGATAGATAACATCTGCTGTGGACAAACTGACTCGCGCTAGAGGCTTGCATACACAATTTTGTCCTATAGCACCTATCTCTAAACATTGACCTGTGTGCACGTAGATCTCATCCCTCCCCTCGCCCCAAAACACAGACTCATCCTAGCTTGCGTATCCCGGCTACAGAATCTCTCTCGTATCCCAACTTATCTTACTGATAAGGAGAGACCTCGATCTAAACTTTTAATACACTTCGCAGTTAATGCACATTTTCGCATGTTCAATATCCTGCCTTTTATCCTTTTTGTCATTGTTGCAACGGTTTCTTTTTGGCCGACAGCTTGTGTGTAACTTGACAAAAATCCAAGAAAAACACAAGAAAACCAACTCGTTTCATTTCAAACCTGGGTCATAGGGAATTTACTGAGACTAATAATGAAAATAATAAGACGAATAATAGCAGCGAAGCAACCTCTCACATACTCGAGGGCAAGTTGCTTGCGACATCACGACAAAGGTTCATAGAATTTCAAGATCAATCCCTAATGTTTAGCTCACAAAACAGTTCTTCACACAATGAGAAACATTATCCATGGAAAAAGAATTCGGTGAATGACAAGAGCTGCAGTAATGCCGTTATGCGAGTCATCGGTCCATCTACCAAACCATCAATTATATATATATTATATTATATTAAACATAATATTATATATATATATGTTCGATCATTAATTGCACGGTCGTGGTCGATCATACAGGCAGGAAACCTAATAGTAGCCAGTTCAATCAGTGAATACTTTACTGTAACGAATCCGGGCAGGTGAGACATCTCTAAGTAGCATCACACGATCGTACAGTTACACTGAATCGTGCAAACATTGCATGAAAAGATAAAGTGGCACACAGACAACTAGGTATTCGGAAACTCATCAAAAATAAAAACAGATCTCACCCACACTGGAGATGAAACCCCTTCACCTTGACTATCACGCTCAAAGAACAAAAGAACACTATCCTGAGATGTGACAGTACATCACAGAGGGGGATAGGGCACTGGAAGACTGTGTATAACACCAGTGTGAAAAATGCAGTGAATAGAACGAAATGCGACAATCGTGCTGCTTAACAAGAGAGAGGCACTATGATTTATGAAACGATATGGAATGAAATAAACGGTCCTACCTGGTGACTTATACAGACATCCGGTGGCGGTGGCAGCGGTAACAGTATTCAGTTCATCATCCGCGCCACCTCTTAGCTTGTGAATCGCAAAATCTGCCAGAGCATACAACAATCCGATCGAACCGGCGGTTTGAGATAGATTAGCACCCGATTTAGTGACATGGTTCAATATTTGGGTGCGCTGAATCGAAACTGTTGGTAGTTCTTTGATTGTTGCGTCGGTCAAACCAGTGTACAAACCTCTGGCCCCGCCAACGGTGGCACCTAGAGGAAATCGAAAAGGATTTGTCACAATTATGAACAAGACACACATACCCCCGATAACCATTGCTCCAATTTCGGAAAACGAACGTTCAAAACGTCCACGATGCTTCTCACCTTCCGGGAAGATGAACTGGTCCTCGGAATTCTACAAGCAAGTTGTAATGCCATGCAATCTAAACTCACGGAGACCAGCAAGGATGGATCAAAGTTCAGGAAGGGAGAAACGAACGTATTTCTATCTATTAAATCAATTATACCGGAAAACAAGTAAACCGTTACCTTCACCGTCCAAGCTTGCCATTGTTCCGAGAATTATCGATTAATTTATCAGCTGGAAGAGTAATTGAATGGAGGTGATTGAACAATTCCAGAGAAAAACAACGAAAGACCGATAGTAAACTAAACAGATTCCCTTGACCATTAAGAGAAGAGAAGTGAAAAAAATGAAAACAGAAAAGGTACAAAGCGATGTAAATCCTGGAGGATGAAGCTCTACGAAGAATATTTCCTCTCAACACTGATCAGGACGGAGCTTGAAGTGGGGAACTGTTTCTGCCGCAACTACATCCATGAGAAGACT